GTAGATAATTAGAAAATAATCTTTGACAAAGGAGCACTACCTTAAATGCAATAGTACAATCAACACAAACATAAATTCAAAAATAGAAAGGACGCAGTCCGTTACCGGTTACTTTCCAACGCAATTTATTGGCGGGAAGGACGTGATGCCGGTGACGATGTGGAAACTAATGACTTCACTTTCTTTTGGGTCAACCTCAAATTGGATTCTTGGAAATTGGGGCCGATCATAACTAATAGAATGATTTTTTGATGGGTGATACTAATAGAGTGATATTTTGGTTGGGGATTCTAACCTTCGATCGGAGTCAATGCCGGTGCTAATGACACAGTGACAGCGTTCCTCTGGAGGGCAGGAGGTTGTCGCCATTAACCTCTTTCCCGACTTTAACCTTTCTTCGAACCATCACCTATCGATGTCTCAGGTGAATGGGCTGCAATGCTATCGATAGGAGGAAAGGAGGCCAGTCTGTTGTATCTTGTGCATCGAAACAAGAAACCTTTCGATAGCTATCAGGGACCTACGCAACACATGGCTGACCGAAAACATTGCGTAATGCTTTCTATTCCGTAAGAACTCAGACATATGAAGCATTCAAATGCCGGAAAAAATATATATTAATAACTCTAATAGATAATGACTTCAAAGCGTGTATTTTTGTCTCAAAACCTAGTTCGCGGTAGTTATTTTAGGGTTGGGGGTCGGGGGAGTGGGGTAAAGGGGCAACAGATTTCAGCCTCGGGCCAGTTAACATTAAAGCGCTCACGTAACCTTTTCACAGATGTGGTTGGAAAAACAACAGTTACGTAGTTAATTTCTCGATTTCCCGAGTTTGTGAACAGGCGACTCTATCTACCTATTATTTTCAAAATATGCTTTTTAAACATCAGAACAGAATCACGTGAGATTACTTGACTCACACCTTTTTTTTTCAAGCGGATAATGCCGTATATGGATCTTGTAGTTTCTGATGCTAGTTATGACGTGTGCGTGAAAGGTCGGAGATGTCTCTTGGCTGACGCGCGCTATAAATGGCCGGGGAATAACTTACTACGGCAGTGAAAGTTATGCGGGAGAGTTAAAAAGACGAACAATAAAACTTATAATTTTCGTTCGGGTGTTTCCAGAACTGACAGGAAAAAAACGAAAGTATTTCCGAACCTCTTTATTTAGCGCTGAGGAAAATTGGATTTGATAAATAAGTTTTAGCTTCGCGTCAAATCCGGCCGACCGCAGGCGTCATGAACCAGCCGATAGGACGTGACTTCCTCCGAAAATAAAGGCAAATAAATAAAATGAATCAATAACTGTCAAATAAACAATAAAAGTGTAAATACATGATCAAGGTCACCGGTTTCCGCCCCTGACATTTGTGCTTCCATGTAGGTTGGTCAACCGCACCTTTATAACGGCTGAGGAGAGCAGAATCAACCGGAAAATGGCAACCCTTTTTACAATGAGAGCAAATCGCAGTCTTTATATAACTCACTAATTGATATACCGGTTGATATCAGGATTTATTTTGCAATGCATTTCGTTCGAGTAAGCCTTCTTTTACTAAACTTTTAACGACCACTTTCTCTGAATTATGACTTTTTAAAATTCGCTTGTTGCACGATTTATGTTAATAAGCACAGAAGAAACATGGACAAAACATGACAGAAAGGAAATAAAAAAAGAGGGAAAGAAAGAGAAAGGCTCATGAAAGAGTTAGTAATATAAGGAGTAAAAAATATACATAAAAATAAAGAAACAATGAGAGTGAAAGAGAGAGAGAGAGAGAGAGAGAGAGAGAGAGAGAGAGAGAGAGAGAGAGAGAGAGAGAGAGAGAGAGAGAGAGAGAGCGAGAGAGAGCGAGCGAGACAGATAGACAGACAGACAGACAGACAGACAGACAGACAGACAGATACAGACAAACAGACAGAAAGAGAGAGCCAGAGATACAGAGAGTGAGAAAGAATGAAAAATCAAGAGACGCCGAGAGAGAATGAAACAGCGAAAGAAAAGAAAAACAAAAAAAACAGAGAAAGAACTCTTCATAGTTTTTTTTTTTTCCTCGCACGTGACATTTCCATCGTTCGTGACTAAGCTTGAAACAGCACCTTAAGCGTCACGGTTCTTATCGTGTTGCGGGAAAGGGCGTGGGCGTGGTCGGCTGGGTATTTGGGCGACGGCATAATGCGGGCGGGGGAGGGATCCGTGTCTGGGCGCTAATGGGTTTTAGGCGTGGAAAAAGGGGGCGGTGGGTGGTGGGAGGGAGAGAGGGAGGAAGGAAGGGAAGGGGGGAGGGAAGGAGGAAGGGAAGGGGGAAGGGAGGAAGGGAGGGAAGGGGGAAGGGAAGGAGGAAGGAGGGAGGGAGGAAGGGAGGGAGGGAAGGAAGGAAGGGGGAAGAAGGGAAGGAGGAAGGAAGGAGGGAGGAAGGGAGGGAGGGAAGGAAGGAAGGGGGAAGAAGGGAAGAGGGAGGAAGAAGGCAAGAAGGAAAGAGGAACGAGCAGGAGAATGAGAGCGTGTTCTGTAGGGAGGGAGGGAGGGGGGGCTGGGAGGGAGGGAGAGGCGGGGCAGGGAGGGAGGGAGAAGGGGGCAGGGTGGGGAGCGAGGCATGAGAGTGAGAGTGAATGCCTCGTGGAGAGCGAAGGAGGGCGAGCCATTAAGGTGAAAATGTCTTGCAAGGAGGGAGAGGAAGATAGGAGGGCAAAACGGGAGAAGGACGGAGAGGAGGAAAGGGAGAAAGTAAGAGAGGAGAGAAGGGGGAATGGAAGGAGAGAAAGAAAGGGAAAAGGAAGAAGGGAGGAAGTAGGTAAGCTGGTAGGATAAGAGAGTCGGCAGTGAATCATTTAAGGGTTTAGGTCAGCATGTAAGACAGCGTTGGCTTACGGTCTATCATGAGCTTGTTGCAGACACTATGAGCTAAGTGAAAAATCATGCTCGTTCCTCCTCAACTGAGAAGGAAAAATCGAGTCTATGACGCTAACGATCTAGAGAAAAAAAAATGTACCATCACGAAACGACAGGAAAAAAAAAAATAGAATGTGGCATCAAAGAATTTGAAAAAGATTTAGGTGTGTTGCGCACGGGACTGAAAGGAAAATATGAACGCATGATACATCGGGGGTGGAGGAAACTCAGAGTCGTAAAGATAACTTGTTTTTAGAGACGACTTTGTGATCTTATTTCGTGTTGCATCTTTGCGTGTGTGGCAACACTGCTTTCCAGCCAAGAAGTTTTGAAAATATGTTGCATGCCGGAACTAGTACCTTTATTTGGTTTGTGTTTGTTTATTCCTAAGTCTATGCTCAAAAAGTTTGATAAATCAAACAAACGAATAACTTTGCTTTCGTGTTTACGTCAACAAAAAGAAAAAATCAACAAATCAAACAATCAACCTAATAACTTTATTTTCTTGTTCATAAATCATCATAATTATCGAATAAACCAAGCCATTTAACTAAAAAAAAATTGGAGTTACAGCTCATGCGCAGTACGAGCGTAAAGAGAATGAGCACCGCCCAGAGCATGTGACTCAGTGACCTCAAGCGCCACGAGGAAGCGGGCGTCGGGCGGCGGGCGGGCGTCTCGAGTCGTAAATGAAACCGCAGTCAAGGAAAGGGGTTTAATGTCATCCGCTATAGATAGACCGAGAGGATTTAGACGTACCTTCTGGGCTACTCGGTCGGATTAAAAGCATAAATCAAGTGCCACAGCAATTACACCTTTGAGGGCAGCTGGCGCGTGTACGCCGCTCTGGAACACCTTTCACGTAGCGCTGGTTTCGCCACGTGCAGCGGTTTCAAATAGAGAGCAAAGGAATTCGAAGCCTCAAGCGTGCCATTAGTTTACCCTTCGCAAAGGGAGAGTCTGCATGACGCAAAAAGAGCTCGGAAGGCAGAGTAGTCATGCATAACTCACCGGTGCCTGGGAGGGTGTTGGCAGGTGTTACGGCTGGTCACGTGACTGGCGGCGATGCAGCGGTCATGTCTGACCTGATTACCAAACAATAAGACGATAAATAGTATCACAGATTTGACATTAATACTTTGTAATTCAGCTCGTTGTCCACTGCATGTCACGGGGTCACATTCTGCGCATAATAACTATTGTCTTTGTGGAGTATCACAAAATGCATTAAAGTTTATACATTTTTAGGGAAGTACCATTATATTATCTTTTTTCTATGATACACAATACTTCAGGAAATTCCAGATTCAAGTAATTTAACCAGAAATACCTCTATTTCTCAAAAGACATTTTAACCCAACCGCACTTTTTTTTCCTTAACCAAGTAACCCATTAGTGCTTTGGGTATCTTTAATTGAAACCCTCTCACAGAACCCATACAAGGTTCCATTCCTCCAGCCCCTTGCCAGATCGAGCCAAGGAGGCCCACCTGTCAAGGCTGCCCGCTCTCCCATCCAACTTTTCACCGTTATGACCGAAGGCAATTACAATGTGTGGCTTATATATCATTTTCTTACCCAGTTCCTCACGCATATCGAGAGCGGCGGTCGGCCCGTGCCCGCTGCCCTCTCCCAGTCCGACTCTCTTCCTTCGTCTTGTGATTTCGTTCTAGTTTGTTGAGGAGGAAAGATAGCTCGGTGGCGCGGTCGTTCGGCGGCGCCCACGTCTTTCTCCCAAAATTTGTGTTCCCTTGAACCTTTGGCGAGTGACCCTGAAGAGAGGGGGGTGAAGGGGGGGGTGTCATTAAGACTTCTGACCTATGAAAGGTGGACGAGGTAGGCGGTAGTGGAGGAGGGGGTGTGAGGGAGAAGGGGAGGGGGAGCAGAGGGGCAGGAGGGCAGGGGGGAGGGGGAGGTGTTTCGGTTCCTTGCTCTGCATCGGCTAAAGTTCAGCCCCGGAGACCGGGATGGCCGAGGCACCCCGAGAGCCAGGGAGGGAGAGACCCAGTCGCGAGCGTGAGAGAGGGAGAGGCAGGCGGGTCTGGGACTGGAAGCAACTCCTGCTACTTCTGTTTACTTCTTTATCGCTAATTAGTGTTTTTTTTTCTTCTTCTTCTGCGGTGACACATTGACATTTAAGGACATTTATGGAGAGGTGTGTGCGGGGATCTGTAGTGAGTGAGATTAGTCTTTGAGCAGTGCCACCGAGGAGTGTCATGGCTGTCACGTGCGGAGATGACAGTGAACGGTGTGTAGGAATGTTGTATTATCAGTGTACCGTGAACGTGTTGATATACTTAACTAATGTTAGTGTGTATCTTTGTGTCTGTGTTCATTTGTGTAAAGTGTTTATTATAAGTGCTGAATATATTAACAGTATTTGAGCTTCTGGTGTTTATTAGGCTTAATCAATGGCATATAAACGTGCCAGTAGAGAGTAGATATATTTTTCATGAATCTCTCATTGAAAAAGAATCTAATTTGCAAACTACCAAAGCCAATGAACCGAAAACAAAGCGATGACAACAGATAAGTGATACGAAAGTGAAAAAACAACAACTAAAAGATCAGAGAAAAATGATCAAGCACACGCTTAAAAATCAGCCTCCCTTTCAGCGATGACAAAGGAAAACATAAAAGATCGGCCATTTTTATGAAAGAAAACGAGGAGGCAAATACGAATGGCTTTGTTGATCAAGAGCCGCGTGACCGAACGATGCCGCGAGTCACAAGAAAAGTGAAACTGAACGATCCTTTGAGAGACGTTGGCGCAACACCCAATGTCTGAACAATATGCAACAACTTGGGGGGAGTCTTATTCAGAAATCTTCGATCATATGTGTACAATCAACACTTTAGAAAGCGAAATGACTAAGGAAATGGCGGGAAAAACGTGTAAAAATTGGCCTGGTCTCGTTCACATCATGGAAATTAGTGACTCAGTCGAAAACGAAAGCTCGAGGTAAATCGCATCGGCCGTGACCAAAATGTTCCGCTCTTAATAAAACAATTGAACGCCGAATAAGAAAATCGGTCACTTTTGAGAAAATTTCCCCCTCACGAAATGACGTGAGAATAAAAGTATATTCAGTTAATGATTAAACCATGAAATACGTGTTCAATATTTGTAAGCATCGCCATATAGTTTTTAGAAAAGAATAGTTCGAAGCATATTGACAAAAGTACCAAACTTATGGAGACGTTCGTAGGTAATGGAGTGTGTCAAAGCCTACTGTATTCGTACGCTGTTTGCGCATTGGAGGAAAAGGGCATTGGGGGGGAAGGGGGGGGAGGGAGGTTAGATAATGCTCGGAGAGGGGGAGGGGTAGGGGGAGGAGAGGAAGGAGGGGGGGGGGAGGAGGAAGAGAAGGGGAGGAGGGACAGGTAGCAAGGTCGTGTATAGGGAGAAGGGGCAGGGGGGAGGGGAGGGGGGGGGAGCGGAGGGGCATGTTAAGGTGAAGGGAGAGGAAGACCCGACGGAGTACAAGGAAGTCATAAAAGACAAGAATATATATAAAAGAATATACATTTCCCGCTAAAATAAAAACGCACGTCATCTTTCTTAATCTTTTAAAGAGTTAGAGCACTTACACCAGGTTCTAATCAAAACCTGTTTATCTTAAAGAGAGACATTTTTTTTCTGAGAGAGAAAGAAGAAAAAATGTCAAGGGAAGAGCGACCGGCCGATGTGAAGGGATGTAAATCGAGATGCAAATACGAGACAACGAAGAGCATTTGGGTCAGAGAGACAGTTGATGCAGTGCCAAGCAGCCTCCCCCCCTCCCCCCTTTTACCCCAACCCCTCAACCTCAACCTCAGCCTCCTCCACCTGTGTATAGGCTACAGCTGTTTATAATATGCTTCTGCCTCCTTCCTTTCCAGTCCCTTTAGCCCAACCCCGGGATCTCGAATTCATTTACCCTTTTTTTATCCCTTATCCTTCGGCCTCTCTCACTTTCTAGTCCATTATTCTCAACCATTTAATCTCAGTCTCTGTAACCCTTTATCCCATATACTTTAGCCGCACTCACTCTCTAGTCTTTCACTCCCCCCCCCCTTACGCCTCTACGCCAAGCCCTCAACTTCCCTCACCTTTTTACCTCTCTACCTCAGTCTCCCTCACTCCCCACTTCTTCAACCCCTCACCTCACCCCTCCCATATCCCCCATCCCCCTCCAAAAATATAGATGAACACGTCTCGAGAATTTAATGCCCCCCCCCAAAAAAAAAGAAATAAGAAAAAAAAAATTAAATACGATTGTTTGGATAATGTTACACACCTTTTTTTCAACATTTTTTTTTTCTTATTCAACCTTTTATTCAAAATGTCGGCCGTTTCTCCTCCTCCCCCCAACCCCCACCCACGCTCCCGACTCGCTGAAGTGGCCCGCTGGTCTTCTTGCTAAAGAGGACTCGATCCGGATACTCTGGCACTCATAAATGCAGACACCTTTTCAAAGAAACTGGAAGGGCCTCATGGACAGGTTTGGTCGCAACTCGAAGGGAATGCAGAAAGGAAACTCTTGAATTGCATTGAAAGAGGAAAGATGCAGAGGAGAGAGGGAGAGCGACGGTTGAGTGGGGTGTCTGGGGGGGTGAGGGGTGAGGAAAGGAAGGAAGGAGGGGTTGCTTTCGGATAGTCTTGTATTTGTTCTCACCTTTCCTGCTTTGTTTTTAGTCTTTGTTATTCCCCTTCGGTCTCTTTTTGGGGTTTTCCCTCCATCCTTCCTTCGGTATGTCTGTTTCTCTGTCTATCTATCTATCTATCCATCCATCCATCTATCTATCTATCTTTCTTTCTGCCCACTCCCTTCTCTCTCTCCCTCTCCCTCACTTCTTTTCTTTTATCCATTTACCATGCTCCTGCAAAGACCTGGAAACAAAATTAGTCTTTCTTTTCCCACACCGTATTTAAATTCACAATTAGCTTTGCGTGCACCTCAGCCCCGAATCACCAGCATCTCAACTTCACAACCTCAGACCTAAAACTGGCTTAACAAACTTATTAGAGATAACAAGTTCACTGACGTCTGTACAGAACGTTTTTTTTTCTTGCGCTGAGAACGAGTGGCACGACTGCTTTGAATAGGTAAACACGCTAGTCAGCTGATTAAGCGGCGACAGACGTGCAAATACAACTGCCAACTGCCTGCGCAAACAGTGTGTGAGCCAGCACCTGTGTTTCGACAATTACTTGATATAAGTTCACCACGTCTGGACAATGTATTTCTTATTTTGAATTAAAAAAAAACTAATAAAAGTCGATTAGTATAGGATATTTCTAAGTTATTCTTTACAGGAAACAAAACGTTATTTCCATTAACTATTCATAAGTATTCTATCCAAACCGTTGTCTTGAATCCTCAATGGCAGTCATTCTTGTCTTGTTACACATACCACGAGCTTAAACATTTTCTCTCACCTGATTAACTTTCATTTCGTGACTGTTATATAGAACACTTAACCTTAACACACCGAGACATCCTTGTGTCGCAATCTTGATCATGCCCACCGTGTTTCTCTTCTCTCCGTCTTTCCCGTCTTTATCAATGACTTATTTCATCCTTCGGCTATTAGACTTTCGTTTTGTTTACGGATTGCCGGGATGCGAGCACATGCAGTCACATGCGCATACACTTAGACGATAAGCAATGGAGAGGGTTATCGTGTTCGGGGGCTGGGGCGGGGGAGGCGCGGGTGTTGACGTAGGCGTGGGTGTCACATGCAACTCAGTGCAACATTTACCCAAAGGGCTTCGTGCGTCTCATGGGAAACTTTATTCCACTCACGCCTGGGTTGTTAAGACGATGCAAATTCTTTCCCGTTAACGTTTGAGGTGGGTGTTTGCACGATGTTCTGTATGACCGCGATGAATAAATGGGCATTAAAATTCGATATTTCCGTGCGAGGGCATGGGGAAGGGGGCAGTACCTGTGTGGTGATGCAAGCTGTGAGTGAAAGCAGTTGTTGCTGAAGCTGCTTCTGGTGCTTGCCTCGTCGGCTGCCCCGTCATTGCTCATGCCAATAGCAAGCTTGAGAGTGTTTTTTAAGCAGTAATTTGTCTCCGGTGAACTGTGCGAGGACCCATTGTGTATTTAAAGACGTCGAATCACCTCCGGGGATCTGAAGGACGGCGTGTTTAGTGTGATTTGTGTTAAGTGTTCGCCTCCGAGAGCTCGACCGGTGTTGCAACTGGATTAGGCTCTCTGTTCCGCATTCTTACTGAAAGCGTGGCGATGCGGCGGGAGGCGCGGTGACGTATCGAAGTGTAAGTGATTTGCCGTTTTTTCTAAGGTTTCGTTAACTTTTTTTGTAACGAAATGGTGTGTTTATGTTTAGGTATCCAAAAGGCTACGATGACTCTTCTCGAACACGAAATAAATAGAGAATGAACGTATATTGAGAAGCATTTCTGCTGATACTGTGACCAAAGATAACGTCTTTAGGATATACTGACCTTCACGGAGGATGAAATGACCTCACCGTGACCTCGATATCACGGATGATTGTTCTACTATGAAAGCCACGAAAATGTTTTCCAACCGGGAGAGGAGTCCCAAGGTGATGGAGTAGCCGCGGTGGGAGTCAGTCGTCAGCAGCCGTCAGTAGCGCCCGTGGATTCGCTGGAGCCAAGAGGTGGTTGCGTGGGATGTGAGACCCTCCCCCCCTCGTGTCCTTCTTCAGCGCCGCCACCTAGACAGAGCGCGGGAGGCGGGGATGCCGCTTCAAGATGCCTCGTCCTGCCACCACTGCCACATCCACGCCCCCATCCCGACGGAGGACCTGAAGCGCACGCATCCCCTCAGGTCGTCCCAGGTCGGCAAGCCGCATGACTCCTTCTCGTGTCGCGGCCATGACTTCACTCGCGGCTTCAAGAAGAACGTGTCCTTCCTCTACGGGAAGATCCAGAGGCGGGATGCCCGGAGCGCGCCCAAGGAAACGCAGAGCAACGGCAGGATCCCCCCGCCGCCGCCGCTGCCGCAGCACATCAGGACGGTCGACCTCCCCCCCGTGGTAGTGGTGGAGACGCCGGTGTCTCGGGCCGCCATTTCGAAGGTCCAGACGCCGGTGCTCAACGCCCTCACGCTCGCGCCGGCGCGCTGCGCCCCGGTGATGAGCGCCGCCCTACCTCCAAGCCCGGCGTCCAGCCTCCCTCCGCCGGTCCCCCCGCACCTGCACGACGTGCGAAGTCGGCGCAAGGGCGGCTCGGGGATGGCGGGAGTGCAGACTGCGGTCCTCATCGGCGCCTACGCCCTCCTGGTAAGCCCGCGACGGGACGGGGCTGTTGTTGAGTCTCCTTTCCTTCTTTCTGTTCCTTCGTGTCCTTCTTGCTCTCGTGATTTTCTAATGTGGTTTTTCTTTCGTCCGCAGTTAGTGCTCGCCGTCGTGATCGGCGTTGTCATCAGCCAGCAGAACCCGCGCAGGGGCGCCGTCCGGGGCCGCCCTCGCGCCGGCTCCCCCGTCCGAGGCGCCTCTCCCGCTCCTCTCGGCAATGGGCCCGTGAGAATCGGCCGCCCACGCGGTGCTCCTCGTGCAGGCCGCCCCGCTGCTCCTCGCCCACCACCACCCCCACCCACCTCTGCTCCAGATTATGACTACGTTTACGTCGATGACATCGGCCAGGACATCACCCTCCTGCCCAACCCTGTAGTCGCCAGCGCCCCCCCTCCTCCTCCTCCTCCCCCCACATCAGCCCCCGTGTTCAGGCCCCTCCCCGCCCCCGCCCCTCGCCGCCCGGAGCCCCAGCCCGCCCCTAGCCGCCCCCCTCCACCACGTCGCCAGAACATCCCCCTCGCCAGCATCGACAGGGACTTCAGCCTCCAGCCCGACGAAACCCCCCGCGGCCGCAAGGAGCCTGAGGTGAAGATCCTGAGGTCGTGGTCTCACCAGAACGCCGACGGCACCTTCTCCTGGGGCTACATCAACACCGACGGCTCCTTCAAGAACGAGACCCGCGGCCTGGACTGCGTCGTCAACGGAGTCTACGGCTATATCGACCAGGAGACGGGCGAGCAGCTGTCCTTCCCCTACACGTCTGGCAACCCCTGCGACCCCGACGCCCCTGACTACTACGACTACGACCTCCAGGGCTCCCCCATCGGCGACGTCGGTGAGACAATCATCCGCGGCCCCGTCGGACGCCCTCGCCAAGGGTGATCGGAGCGCCCACGCAGGAGTGGGCGAAGGACGCGCCCCAGTGAGGCCCGCCCTAGGTCCAGACCCCATGGTCTTTAAGCCTTAAATGTATACGTTTGTTCCAAATGTATACGATCCTCCTTTCCCTATTTCTCAAACTGCCATAATTCTAA